GCAGCTGCAGCTCCCCACCCTGGCCCAGCCGGGTACACTGCTACCATCTCTGCCCCAGGGGGCCAGGCAGCACCACAGCTGTGGCACCAAGACATTCTGCTGGGGAAGCAATAGCAGCTGGCACACCCTGCATGTTTTAAAATTAGCCAATGGCCGCCAGGTCCTGGGGCTGCAGCAGAGGGCACCCACCCAGGGCCAGCACCGACAGGGCCTTTGGGTCTCCTGGGCAGCTTCCAGCAGGGTCTGGCTATAAACATAAACACATGGCCTCACTGGGTTGGTCCCACGCCCCAAGCTGTTCCCTCTCCTTCATCTTGCTCCTGTGAGAGAGGGGTAGGAGCACTATCTCAACCAGGCCTCACAATCGCTGTTTTCCCATCTGCCATGGGAATCCCAGCATTCCTCCATCAGTACTAAGAAGTACTAATGCTAACCACCTGTGGCTGGGACACAGGGGGACACAGGACCGATGCTGTGAGTGCCGAGCTGGCTCCTGGTGAACTGCAATGTCCCAGCTGTGCCCGTCACCCTCTGTCCCATCCAGAAGCTGCCTCACGCCGCCAGCGCTCTCCTCATCCCAAAAGCTGCCCCGAGGACCCTGTTCCCGGCTCTGCCCAGCAAAAGGGGTGCTGAGGCCGCAGCTCCCACAAAGAGGAGAACCAGCCTGCCCGGCCTGGGTGTGCCCGCCACCCAGCACCAGCACCGCCCCCACGGGCCTGTTGGGGCCTGAGTGCCACTCCCTAGGCGGGGATCCCCCGCCCCACAGGGTTGTGGTGCAACCAACAGGGCTCAGCCTGTCCCTGCCCAGACAGGGCAGGACATGAAGTTGCCACTGTCACTCCCCTGCACCCCCAACACAAATGCAGGGGTGCTGATGGGCTGGCACTTGGCACCCGTCACCCTGAAGGGGCACAGTGACTGCTCAGTGACTCTTCCCTGCTGTCAAACCCCTGCAGCCACAGGGGGAGGCGGGGATGCTAGCCCAAGTGTGGGGAGGTTAGCCGTGACTTTGTGTTCTTCCTGCCTCAGTCTCCCAAGTAGCGGGGATTACAAAATAGCTGAGATTAGAGGCATGTACCACCACACCAGGCAGAGTCATTTCTAGTGAACTTCCTCCCCCCTCCCCCCGCCCCGTACCAGGAATCGAACTCACGACCTTGCACTTGCCAGGCAGGCGCTGTGCCTCTGAGCTAAATCCCCAACCCCTCTAGTGAACTTTCAAGATTAAATTTAAAAAGAAATCACACTTAGACCAGCTACAAATCTAGGAGAACTGCAAGTCTGAGCCCATCCTGGGCAATTTAGCAATTTAGCTAGAAATCAAAAATAAAAAAGGGCTCAGTGTGAAAGCCCTGAGTTGCTGGATCCCCACTACTACCAAAAAAAAAAAAAAAAAAGTCACACTTCATTTTTGAAGTTATATAACCCTGACATGAAAGCCCTGGTACGCTTTTACGGGTACTGTATTTCTTAGCACTCATGAGCTGACCTTTTACGTTGAATAATTTATTTAACCCTCACAACCAAGCGAGACGGGAGGTGTTATATTCCCACTACACAGGAGAAGCAGGAGCAGAGAGGCTCAGGGATTTGCTAAGGTCACACAAGCTCAAAGTCAGGTCTAGGAGCGAACCCAGGTCTGCTATGTGCAGACCCACCTGGGTGGGTTCAGGTTCTGTCTCGAGTTACAGCCATCTCCTCTTCTCATAATAGAAGCTGCCGTTCTTCCTTCTTTTTTGGAGGTGGGGGAGGGATTCTTCTTTTTTGGAGGTGGGGAGGGATTCCGGTACCAGGAATTGAACTCACGACCTTGCCCTTGCCAGGCAGGCGCTGTGCCGCTGAGCTAAATCCCCAGCTCCTGTTCTTCCTTCTTTCCTTCCTTTCTCCAGCCTCCTTTCTTTCCTCCCCATCCCTTCCTTCTTCCTGTCCTCCCTTCCTCCCTTCTTTCATTCATGTAACAAATGTTCCTTGTGCACTTGCTGCCTTCTCAGCACTGCTGGTGTTGAAGTTGAAGACTGATGCGGGCCTGCTCCCCAGCTTACATCCGGGTCCCTGTAACTCTTCTTCCCGACAACCCCCTCCTCGCCCACATTTTTTAGGCACTTTCACTCACTCATTCCTTTGTCCCCAACAAAGGTAGTGGCCAGGGCCAGCCTGGCGGAGCTCCAGCAGCGTTCCCAGCCCGCACAGGCCAGAATCCCGCTGTTTCAACTGATTTCCGGAGCTGCCCCTCTGGGTTCCCTCGGTGCCCGGCTCAGGTTTCCATTAAGGCCCTCATTATGCGGCAGTAAAACATCATTTACACGGCACATCCCTCTCCTCCTGCTCTTCCCCAAGCTCCCCAGTGCAGGGGCCAGACCTGCCTAACTCAGGGTTTTAAATCTCCAGCCGCAGGGCAGAGCTGGCTCCCGCGCCCTAGATGATGAATACAGGAGTGCTGCGCTCCTGTCTCATCATTTCCAAGCCATTCATTCCAGGGCTCTCCCAGCATCTTGTGGCCCACCTTCTTTTTATCTCGTTGAAAGGCAAAGGCACCGAAACAGTGAGGGGAGAAAGAGCCCCATTTCTCTGCTGCAGGGCTCTTCTGCCTCTAGTCTTGAAGCTCTGCTGTTGTAGAAGACACAGCATTTTGGAGAGTGGTGGGAGAGACCTAGGGCACAAGGTGTCTGTTCCATGGGGTGACTCAGCTCCCCCCTAGACAAAGGCCTACTTTTTCCATCCTTAGTTTACTGATTGCCATGGCCCCTATCTATTATTATTATTATTATTATTATTGAGACAGGGTCTCGCTTGCTATGTAGTTCAGGCTGGTCTTCAGTGCATGGTGATCCTCCTGCTTCAGCCTTCCAAGTACTAGGATTACAGGTGTGTACCACCATGCCTGGCCGCCGTCTTTTATTTATCTTTTGACAGTAATGGGATTGAACCCAGGGCCTTCACACTGAGCTATAATTTCCAGCCCTTTTTACTTTTTCAGACAGGATCTCCTTAAATCACTATACTTTCAAGGCTGGTCTTGAACTTGCTTCAGCCTCTCAGGGTACCGGCGTGACAGGTGTGCACCACTACACCTGACCTATTATTTATTTATTTAATTACTTTTGTTTGTTTGTTTTGTCTTTTTGAGACAGGGTCTTTCTATGCAGTTCAGGCTGGCCTTGAGCTCACTTTGTAGCCCAGGCTGGTCTTGAACTTGCAACGATCCTCCTGCCTCAGTCTCCTGAGTGCTGCGATTACAGATTCGTGACACCATGTCCTACTATTTGATTTCTTTTTTGGGGGGGCGGGGACTGGGAATTGAACTCAGGACCTCGTACTTGCCAGGTAGGCCCTGTGCTGCTGACCTATATCCCTGGCCCCTTTATTTCATTTTTTGGTGGTTGGCCTGCGTTCCGGGTCTCACGCACTTAGTTAAGCATGTGCTCACCACTGACTTACACTGCCCTAGTCTTGGCTTTAGCTCATGGGCACCAAGAGCTTGAGCCCTGAGTGCAAGGACACACAGCCTGTGTTGCTCTGCAGTTCAGAGGAATAATCACCAAAGGAAACACAACCCAGGAGTCAGGAGACTGAGCTCAAATGCTGACTGTCCCATAAATGCACTGTGTTACCCGGGGACATAATTTCACCTCTGGGCCCACCTGCCCCTGTAAGAATATACATTCATGTACTGGGGATCCAACCCAGGAGCACCTTATCTCTGAGCTACATCCACAGCCCTTTAAAATTATTTTTTGTTGCCCAGGCTGGCCTTAAACCTTTGATCATCCTGCCTCAGCCTCTTGATTCCCTGAGATGATAGGCATGTGCCACCATTTCCAGAGAAAATGAGATGGAGAAAATGATTGCTGAATTCTCCTCTAAATTCCTTAATAGTTCCAAAGCATCTATCAAAAAAATTTTTTTAAAAGTCTTATGTTTCCCAGTTCTTTTAGCATTCAACCCTTCCAAATAGCCTGTAAGTGGTCTGGGGGCGTGGCTCAGTGGTAGAGTTCTTGCCTTGCATGCACAAGGCCCTGGATTCAATCCCCAGCACCACCAAAAAACCCCACAAATATCCTGTAATTACCAATTAAAAAAAAAAGCTGGATGTGGTGCCGCACACTTATAATCCCAACAGCCTAGAAGGCTGAGGCAGGAGAGTTACAAATTCCAGCCCAGTGTGGGCAAGTTAGCAACTCAGTGAGATCTTGTCTCAAAACTATAAATAAATGTATGTATGGGGTTTTTTGGGGTTTTTTGAGACTGGGTCTCACTACGCAGTTCAGGCAGGCCTTGAGCTCACTACATAGCTCAGGCTGACCCCGAACTCACAACGATCCACCTGCCTCAGCCGCCAGTGGGCTGGAATTACAGGCGTGCGCCACCAGGCCCAGCTTTGTATGTATGTCTGTATGTCTAGGACACAGTTTAGTGTGAAGGGCCCCGGGTTTGATCCGCAGTATGTGTGTGTGTTTGGGGGGTGTCGTTCTGTGATTCCTAACCCAACAAGCTCACATTCTGTAAATGTGACCAGAGGCTTTGGACCTTCACAGGTCATCCAGAACTCTGGGGGCCTTTTCGTGCTACACTGCTGGGCAGTGCTACACCGGGAGAGAGATCACAACGGCCACCAGGACCCCAGCGTCCTTCCCCTCTTAGCCCTTAAATCCTCCTTGTTGCTCAGAGAGCAGGAAGAAGCCATGACCGAGGGCCTAACTCAGAGGTCACACGCGCACAGGCATTTGGAGGAGGGACCCAGCCTTTCCCAAATTCCACGGACTTCGCTCCCGGCCACGGTTCCCGCTGTGGGACCAGGGGTGGCGCAGGGAGCCAGGCGTAAAGGATTCGGCGCGCAGGCTCCCGGCGCCATGGGAACGTGGGTCAGCCTCCTCGCTGCCATGGCAACGGGCTCGCGAGTGGTGGGCGCGGGTGCCCGTCAGCGCGCTCAGGTGGTGCCCTCTGGGGGAGGGGCGGGAGGGGAGGAGGAGGCGGGCTGGGTCTGGGGGTCCCGCGCCTACCTGGAGCGTCAGTGCCCGCGTGGGGCTTCCCCGCGCCGCGTCCCACGGGCTCGTTCCCGCGACCGCCCGCCCGACGCCGGCCACGGGTGGCGGAGTGTCCCGGTAACCCTGGGTCCGCGCGGTGTCCCCGGAACTGCTGGACGCCCGCCAGGCCCCGCCCCGGCCCGCCCGCCTGTGGTTCCCGGAACCGCCCGGGCGCCCTCGGCCCCTCCGCAGCCCCGGCCTCAGTGTCCCCGCCGGGTCGTGGCCAGAGCGGTGGCCGTGCAGCCAAGGGAGTCGCAGGGTTCCTGTCGCTGTGCCCCCGACCTCGAGAGGCCCCGCCAAGCTGCGCCCGGCCGGGGTGGGGTGGGGTGGGGTGGGGGTCCCTGCAGGGCCGGGCCGGGTTGGAATCCGAGGTCCACACCGCGCGGCCGGCTGTGTGAGCCCGGGCGAGTGCCGCGACCTCTGAGCCTGAGCTCGTCCGAGCCGAGCCGACCCTCGCTGGGCTGGGGGAGGAAGGCGGGGTGGGGGCGCCCACCCGGCACCTGGGCAGCTTGGTGCGAGCCCGCCGGGATGAGCTGCTCGCCGCCGCCCCTCACCCTGCCCGTGGCGGGACGGGCAAAACGAGAGGAGGGGAGCTGCGGAGGGCTGGGAGGGAGATGGGGTTATAAATACTTCCTTATCATCGCGGCCTTGCCCGCTTGCCCTCCCTAGCCCCAGCATGCCGGTCCTGTCTTCCAGGAAAGCAGCTGCAGCTATCTGGGCGGCGTCCCGCACAACCAGCTATCTGGGCCGGTGCTCGGCGGAGCGGGCCACAGCTGGCGGGTCAGGGGCGCTGGGGAAACCGAGGCCAGGCCGCGCCCCGTGCCCTGGCTTGGAGTCCCGCGGAGCTGCGGGCTCTGGCAGAAAAGGGTTATTTTGTTACATGTTTGCAGAAATTAACCAGTGTTTCCGACCAAAAAGTTGAAAAACTGTATCACCTGTAATTTCATCTTACCCAGGGACCACTAGTGTTAATATTTTCAACACTTTTTGCCTGAGGGTGTAGCTCAGTAGTAAGACACGTGCTTAGCGTGCGTGAAGCTGTTGGTTCAACCCAAACAGAAGAAGAAAGTAGAAATTTAAAAAAACTTCAGTTGTAATTTTTCTTGAGACAGGGTCTTGCTATGAAGTATAGGCTGGCCTTGAACCCGCTTATGTAGCCCAGGCTGGCCCCGAACTCACGGCCATCTTTCTGCCTCAGCCTCCCAAGTGATGGGATTACAGGCATGAGCCACCATGCCCAGCTCTGATTTGTAATTTACAGTACATAAAATTAATTACCCTAACTTTAACATCTGCTGTTACTATTCTGGTATCTTCCTGCCTCTTCTGCAGTTACACATTTACATCTTTTTGAAAAAGGATTATCTAGTACTTACCTCTTTGTGACCCTTGGATAGCAGTATATCACATTTTTTCATAACCTGAAAAATTATTGCCAGGCATGGTGGCACACACCTGTCATCCCAGCACTCTGGAGGCTGAGGCAAGAGGATCGCCGTGAGTTCAGGCCAGCCTGAACACTACATAGCGAAAGCCTGTTTCAAAATAATAATAATAATTATTATTGCATACCTTCATTTCAATGTATTGTCATACAAAATGCAACACATTTTAAACCAAGTCTCTATTAAATGTTATGTTGCTTCCAATTTTTCATTATCTTAACTGTCCAGAAGAGCATCTGTCCATAACCCTTACATCCTTGCTCCCTAACTTTTCTCCTCCTCAGTCACCCAGGTAGTAGTAAAACACTGCAGCTGTGGCCAAGACTGTCAACTGTATGCCAATGCTTTGAAAGCCCCCCTCCCAGCAATAATGTGGGGGTGTGGGGGGAGCACTGCTTGCTAAGGCCCGTGAAGGCGCCGCTAAGTTAGGGTCTCACCAAAGGTCACGCAGGAAGTTAGCGCTTCCCGGTTCCCAGCTCACAGAGCACCTGGTCCCCAGCAAGCCCGGGTTCCTCCACCCGGTCTCTGCGCCCCAGGGGTCACTGGCTGCTGTGAGCCATTTGGTGCCTAGTCCAGCCCAGCGCCCAGAAGAGAAGCTGCTCGCCCAGCCTCTTGCCTCCTCCTGCCCTCCTTCTTCCTCCTCGCTTTTCCCGAATCTCCCTCCCTCAGGCCTTCAGCGGAGTAAAGGGAAAGACGTTCGGTTCCGTGCCTAGGATGAAGGTCCTATCCTGCCCCTTTCGGATCTGCCCCACCCTCGCCAACCATGGGGGACTGCGCTCACCTCTGGGGGCGGCGCAGGTGCAGACGGAGCGAGTTCTATCTGTTCCGCTCCGGCACTTCATCATCCCTGCTCACCCGACCCTTGATTGATGTCACTGCTGTTGTCCCCACCTCCCGCCCCTGCCCCACAGACCACCATCCCAAGGGGTTGACAGCGTTTGCTTTTGTTCTTAGGCCTTCTTGTGAAATGTGTAGGCTGGAAGTGTAGCTCCGGTTGTTTTTACTCTTTTTATTTTGAAATAATTATAGACTTCCAGGAAGTTGCAAAAAATAGAACAGGGAACCCTACAGGAGTTTCCCCCAACAGTGACATTATTTATCTGGAGTAAAATAGCCCCATCAAGGAAATAGCACTAAATTGACTATGAACCTTTTTTTCTTTTTTTTCTTTCTTTTTTTTTTTTTTTTTTTTTTTTTTTTGTCTTTTTGAGACAGGGTCTCACCATGCAGTTCAGGTTGGCCTTGAGCTCACTTTGTAGCCCAAGCTGATCTGGAACTCACAGCGATCCTCCTGCCTCAGCCTCCTAAGTGCTGGGATCACAGGTGTGCACCCCCATGTCCAGCCTGACTATGAACCTTATTATTCAGCTTCTGTATCTACCTGTGTGTGCGCACTTGCACAATTCTGCATGCCACTTATGTGCATAGTTCTGTGCAGTTTGACCTCAGGAAAAGGCTTATGTACCTACCACCATAATGAAGACACAAATAAATTCTTTTTTTATTTTCTTTTTTAATTTTTCTTTGGTCTTTTTGAGACAGGGTCTCAACATGCAGTTCAGGCTGGCCTTGAGCTCACTTTGTAACTCAGGCTGGTCTTGAACTCTCCACGATCTCCCAAGTGCTGGGATTACAGGCCACCACACCCGGCCTGACACAAAGAAATTCTTTGTCTCACATTAGTGTCTTCTTATTTCTATACCCGTCCCATAGCAAAGGCTAATTTCTTTTGTTATCCAGCCAGGTGCAGTAGTCTATAATTGTAATCCGGCCCCCTGAGAGGCTAAGGCAGGAGGATGCCAAGTTCAAGCCCAACTCAGACGTGAGCCTCTGTCCCAAAATAAAAAAATAAAGGGCCAGGGATGTAGCTCAGTGCAAAAAGCCTTGGGTTCAATCCCCAGTACCCCCCCAACACACACAAAAGTTATGTGCAATGAATCACATAGTGGGTAATCTTTTGAGATTAGTGACCCCCTAACCATAATGCCCTTGAGGTACATGTGTTTCTTTTTTGTGAGTTCTTTTTTTTGTGTGTGTGATAGGATTTCACTATGTAGGCAGGCCAGCCTTGAACTCACAGCGATCCTCCCAAGTCCTGGGATTACAGGCATGTACCACCATACCCAGTAGTTTTCTTTTTTTAAGTGATCCTCCTGCCTCAGCTTCCTGAGTAAGTGGAACAACAGACATGCACCACCATACCTGACAGTATTTATTTATTTATTGATTGATTGATTGATTGATTGATTTTTTGAGATGAGGTCTTGCTGTGTAGTTAGGGTGGCCTTAAACTCAATATAGCCCAGGCTGATCTTGAATTGTTGGTAATCTTTCTGCCTCAGCCTCTTGAGTGCCAGGATTAGAGGTGTGTACCACCACACCTATGTCACCGTGATTTCACTTTATATTTCCCTGATAGCCAGTGATGTTATTATTATTATTATTTTTAGTTTTTTCTCCGGTACCGGGAACCGAACTCACGACCTTGCGCTTGCCAGGCAGGCGCTTTTACCGCTGAGCTAAATCCCCAGCCCCTTTCTTCTTATTATTATTATTATTATTTTTAGTTTTTTCTCCGGTACCGGGAACCGAACTCACGACCTTGCGCTTGCCAGGCAGGCGCTTTTACCGCTGAGCTAAATCCCCAGCCCCTTTCTTCTTATTATTATTATTATTATTTTTGGTTTGCCAATGATGTTGAACTCCTTTCCAGGCACTTGCCCTCCATATACTGTTTCTCGTGGTGTCTGTTCACGTCTTTGGGTTGTTTCCTATGGGATGATTTGTTTCGCCTTCTAAACTTACATAAGCCGCATTTTGACATAGGTCTTATTTTGTTTCTTAGCTGTCGTCTTGCAGAACCATGCTTGCCACACTGGGAGCATCCAGTCTGCCGCTCTTAGTGGTTGTGGAAAGCTCCACGTGAGGCATCCCCACATTTGTAACTGACACGCCGCCCCAGCACAGGCTGCTGCCCACCCTTAAAAGACGACGGCAGTGTCTGCTCGCTCTTCTGCCTCTGGGCCGGGGGAGGTCTTTGAGATTGTGCACAGATGACGTGAGAGGGCACAGGCCACCCACGTAACCCCCGCGTGGATCCCCGAGCCCTGCCAGCTCTGGCATTGTCCAGCTACATTTTCCAACATAAGTAATATAATTTTTCACTTTTAAATATTATTGTTGTTGTCATCATGTGTTACTGGAGATTGAACCCAGGGTCACTCTACGTCTGAGTTATATTCCCAGTCCTTTTAAAACTCTGAGACAAGGGGGATGGGGATTTAGCTCAGCGGCACAGCGCCTGCCTGGCAAGTGCAAGGTTGTGAGTTAGATTCCCGGTACCAGAAAAAAAAAAAAAAAAAAATTCTAAGACAAGGGCTAGGGATGTAATGTAGCTCAGTGGCATAAGCACCTACCTGGTAAGCCTGAGGTCATGAGTTCGATTCCTGGTACCAAAAAAAAAAAAAATTCTGAGACAGGACCTAGGTATGGTGGTACACACCTGTAATTCCAGCACTCTGGGAGGCAGAGGCAGGAGGATTGAAAATTCAAGCCCAGTGTGGGCAATTTAACAGCCTAGCACTTAGTGAGACCCTGTCTCAAACAAATAAAAAAGGAAAAAGAAATAAATATGTATAAATAAATAATAAAATAAAAGGAGGCCAGGGATGGGGTGCTTAGGTGAAAAGATACCCAGTGCTGGGATTACACGTGTGTACCCTCATGCCTGTTTCTCCTGTTCAGTAGCTTTTAAATTTCCCCTTCTGTAAATCCCCTATTCTATAAATCCCACATACGGGGTCCTGGGAATTATGTGGCAGTTTTCTGGGATCTTGTAATTG